GTAATGTAATGTCGTTTTTACACGTTGGTCTATCATTATGGGATTTGGTGCATGTCACGTCTTCGGGAAGGGCGTTCCACGCTGCAACTACTCTGTTGCTAAAGAAGTACCGTCGTCCGTCGATCCTTCCTTTGCCGAGGCGTAGTTTGAGGGGATGCCCGCGCAAACGTGGCGTATTTACCTGGGTAACTAAATTGGCGGGGAGGAAGCAACAATCCAGGTTATTCATAATACGGAAGGTAAGGATGAGGTCCTTTCGACGTTGTATGTAGGAAAGGGGAAATAGATCGAGGGTTGGCAGTCTGCTTTTGCATGACAGTTTTCTCAGACCTTTTTCGCTTGCATCTGGACCTTCTTTAAGACGGTGCAGTCTTTGACAGTCCAAGGTCTCCATGCCTGTATAGCGAGTTTCAAGTGCGGCCGAACGAAGCTTGAGTGAAGGAGTAATCCACCCACCCAAGTCCTTCTGACTCAACGTTTATGCAGCGGTGTACCATTTAAAGAATAGACCCTCCGGCTGGATGCCCTGCAACTGCTGATTTGAAGAAATTTGCATTTAATAACAGTAAATGGCGTAAGTTAATGCTTTGACCAGCCCTCCAACATGTTCAAGTTAGCTTGCAGATTGTTTTCATCTGCCATATTTTAGACAAGTTTCCATAATTTTATGTCGTCAGCGAATAAGGTGACATCACAATTTAGATCCCTCACAAATCGTTGATGAAAACAAGGAATAATACGGGACCTTAAACTGAGCCTTGTGGGGCGCCACCCACCACATGTATCCCCGAGTATACGATTATAATAACCCGGCTCATTAGCGAAGCAAAATGACACGGACGAGTAGTTGGGACAAAAGAAAAAAGAGCAAACACGAAAAAATCCTTTCGCAGTATTGGGAAGCTACATAAGTTTGAATGTGACTACTAATGCCTGACTAAACGGTTATGCATTTGGATAAAGCGGAATTTTTACATCCATTCTTTGCCAATGTATATCTAAGTTACGGGATTAAGCTTACATTATAATCTC